AATCTCCATGGGTTAAAGTGTTATTTTCTCAGCTGCTTTATTTCTTTTTAAAAGAACATGACTGACAAAAATAATATTAGGGGAGAATTGTCCATTATGACAACAATGGTATATTGTATAAATGTGTTTTTGAATTTATTTACTTTTCTATGAAAAGTTTTTTGTAATAAAAAAAACTAATTAACAAAATACAATTGGAAGAAAAATGTGTAAATAATATTGTCTACCCTAAAATAACGAACTTGTCAATTTAAAATAATTTTTTTTCCCTCGCCATTAACAAACTATAAAATAGGCAGTGGTTTGAAATGTGAAAGAAAGGAGGCGGGAAAAACAAGCCCAATTTTCTTTATTCTTTTGAAATTGAAAATTAATGAGAAATTATCTTTATTTATTATTACCAAGCCTATAACTTTTTATATGAAAAAATTGTTCAATTTCAATAGGATTCGAATGCTTTTCATGTTTTATATTTCTTTGCGCTTTAACGATTGCGACCAATTTTTAATTGTGAAATTATTAATTGTAAATTATTATAATTGTAAAATAATTTAAAATTGTATTTTAGGGAAATTTTCTTTCATCTTTTTGAAATTGAAAGGAGAAAATTAATTATTATTTATTTTTACAAAATCAGGTTATAATTATTTTTGATTGAAAAAAATTATTCAACTTTGTCAGGATTCGAACACGTTCAACGCGTTTCGTATTTCTTCGCGCCTTAACGATCACGACCAAAGCGATTCTGAATCTGTGAAATTATTACCATTACCCTTTTTTTGTTAATTGTACATAAAATTAGAATTCAATTAAATAATTTAAACAACAATTCTATAAAAATAAATTCTATATTTAATATTATTAAAATAAATATTAATATATTATTAAAATAAATATTAATATATTAATAATATAAATATTAATAATATTGTCTCTCCTAAAATAACGAGCTTGTCATTCGAAACAATTTTTTTTCACCCTCACCATAACAAACTACAAAATAGGCAGTGGTTTGAAATGCAGAAGGGAGATGAAAAAAAAAGAAGTTATTGGCCATAGTGACCGTTGTCTGGAAGAAAAGAAGTTGGACAGCGCATCAACAACCATGAGATTTTACTCTCGGGGTCTTTTTTTATATGGAAAATAAATGTCTACGGTCGTACAATGGTCCATTCTTCACTCTTTTTTCAGCGGTTGAATGCTGTACCTTTTGCAGGACACAAGGAAAATCGTTTGCTCATATATATATACATATATATATAGACCATGTACAGTGAAACTTTCATTCGCAAAAGTGGTATAGCCAGCCTTCACAAAATGATAAGAAAATCATGAAGCGTTTGCGTCTCAACTTCTGTTGAAAGTTGAATGTCGATAGGGAGAGGGGGGGGGAATAGGGAGTGGAAAAGGCAACGAACGGATAGTAGTAGTGGTTTGATGCACAGCTTCTATATAGATGGCGGGGGGGGGGGGGCTTTATAAGGGGGGGGGCAGGCTGGATTCGTTCAATACGCGCCAGGCAAAGACGAGGGATTTAGTTACACTTGAGTTGAAAAAAAAGCTCACAAGTAAAAGGGAAGGAGGATGTATGAAAACAAGAAATTACATTAGCGGTAAACTCGCGCAGTGCTTTCGTCTAGCGAGCAAAAATCCCGTTAACTTTTCGCTTGATTGAAGCGTAACTCTCGAAAAAACCATTAATGTCGATTCGAAAAATAAAACTATTTACTTTTCCTTGTGAAGCTAAAAAAAAAAAAAAAAAATAAAATAATGGAGAAAATAAGTTCTAGAAACAATACGTTCAACAAACGAAATCTCGTTTAACTTTCTTATTTTTCACTCTTTTCTTTTAGCAATTGTTTAAAAAAAGATCGAACACATGTATATATTTAATTTCTCCTTTACTTCATTATTTAATATTTTTTTTTTTTTTTCGTAACAAATGTTTTTCATTTTGATGGCGTTTTTTTAAAAAAAGAAAAAAAGTACCTCTTAAAATGAAACAATGTTGAAGAAAATCTTATATCGAATTTTCTTTTTTCCTCTTCTTTTCCCATTTTAATTTTTGTTGTTCATTTGGTTGAATTTTGCAAATTGCATTTGCGGAATATATGTGTGAGAAGTGTTGGCAATAAAATCAGAATTAGAGAAGATCTTTGGGTCACTTGGATTAAGCAGCAAGAGAAGACTTAATTCGAAATCCAGTAAAGACAGTTGAGAGCTAAATTTCCAAGCCCCACTTCCCCCCCCCCACCCCACCTCACCCCCGAGGGAACATTCAATGCAAAACTAATCAAACAGATTCTTTATCATGCGAGACACGGTCTCGGGGTTTCTACGTTCGTTCTATTCCTCTCTCTCTCTATATATATAGAACTATGACGGAACGCTAGGTTTTGGTAAATCACTCGGTAATGCAAGCTGAGTACGTGCCTCGCATGTACTTGCACTCATTGCGACCCGTTCATTACAATCGTAACAATTAACTTCTTTAACCAATCTTTATATCGCAAAATGGAGAGAAATTGTTCTTATGCGCTTAATTTAATTATTATTCATTAAAAAATTTTTTTAAAAAATAAAAATATTCACAAAAAATATGAATTTAGTTTTGGTAATTACTTTTTTTTCTTTTCCTTGTTTTTATCCGAATTTAAATTTTTTCTCTCTGTATGAAAAAATTCTTTCCTAATTAATTCATTTTATTCGATTAATTTTTATTATTTTTTGAATCCAAAAATCTTGGTAATAAATTTTGAATCTTTCGTAGATTTTTTTTTTTTTTAATTTCCACTATAGGATAAAAATATATTCAATGGCAAGAAAAATTTTGTTTATAACTTATATTTTTGCAAAATGAAAAAGATAGCTATATATTTATATATATATCGCGGAAGATTAGTGACATGTTGGAAATAAACCCTCTAGCAAATTTATCAGAACTGAATGTACAAAATTGGACTCTAGAGACTAAACTTGAAATATGCCAAACTCTATTAACATATGCAAACCAACTAACATTTCAAAATAACCCACAAATATATTATACTAAACTCTCTTGCTCATAAATGATTTTATATAAATTATATATTTTTATAATTATATATTTTTTATGTATTTATATATATTTTTTTAATTTAATTTTTTTATTTTATATCATATATTTTTTAAAAAGATTTTTATAACAATTTTTCTATATATTAAACAAAGAGAGAATGAGAAAGAGGGGACACTTTCTAAAAAAACAAGTAATGAGTGAAAATTTATAATACACTTTCTGATGAGTTAAGAATAAATCACAACTGACCGTACATTATATTATCATGTTCTCTGGGTTTTTAAAAAAATGAATAATACACGAATTAAATATTTCAACATTCATTCTTTTGCAAATATAATAAAAAGTAGTTGTGAAATAAATTCAGAGAATAATACATTTTTTTTTTCTAAAAGGTATATATATTCAAAATTAAATCCAGATTCTCTGGATTTTTTTTGTCCACTTAAAAAAATTTGTATCTCGGAAATTAAAAATTTTTTATATTTATTATTTATTATTTAAATTATTATTTATTTTTCAAAATATTTATTTTTCGAAATATTTATTTTTAAATAATTTACTTATTTTTTAACTAAAAATAAATATTTGTAAATGAAATAAAAATTGAAGGTGGAAATTTTTGCTTATGTGAATAGTAGTAACAGTGGGAGCTTTTGTTTAACTCTCTCTCTCACTCTCTCTTTCTCTCTCTGAACAAGTACTATACGAAATAGAACAGTAAAGTTAGAAACAGAAGATCGGCCAGTCATCAAAGCTCTAAATAGAACCTCGGACAAAAGTGAAATTTAGTGACAGAAAATTAAGTTAAATGCTTCGCAAAACTAAACTGATTCTAGTTGAATGAAATTAAGATTAATTGTTTTAAAATCAATCGTATTTTATTATCACTAAAATTTAGAAATAAAATCCATTTTTAATTTATAAATTATAATTTCAAATTCACAAATTAATTTTATATAAATTTTTTACTCTTCCTGCATAAAGTAAAAAAATTCCTGCATTTTATAATAAATTATTATTATTATAGATTCTTATAAAATGCTATATATTTTATATTAATTTTATCACATTTCATTAAAAAAATAAACTCGATATTTTCACATTACAATTTTATACATGCTATCATATAAATTGAATTAAATTTTACTTTAATATAAAAAAAAAACATGCTTTCGTTAGTTTACGATAAATGTAACAGAAACTACAACGTAGTGCAATTTATAGTGCAATAGTACAAAAATGTTTATATGTGTGTAGATAGACGAGACAAGACAGGACAGAAAGACCCTTATACGTTTTACAATTTCCTTTTTTTTTTTTTTTTTTTTTTTTGTTTAATTTTGGAAAAATAGTGAAAGAAAAATTAAAATACATATAAAGAAAAAAAGAGTGCAAAAAGATATTGTAGAAAAAAAACGCGGATGCGTGCAGGTGCGGCCACAATTTTCATTCATGTGTCACAAAATTTCCCTCATAAAAATTATGATTCTTAATTAAATAATTATAAATAATTAATAATTTTTTTAATTTTATTATTATTTATTTATAATTTTCCTTAAAAAAAAAAAGTAGTAGACAAATTTTATGACACTTGTTCCATTTTTTCAAAACGTTTAAGAACTTCGTAGTGTATTTTTTAAATTTTTACAATAAAAACAAATTTCTGTTTACTTTTTTTTTTATTAATAAATTTACCAATAACTAATGACTTTTTTAAATTCTAAAAGAAATAAAATAGTTTTAAATAAATTTTTCAATTAAGTGAAGGAAAAAAAAAATGAAGATAATTTATTTTCCATGTAAAAAAAAGCTATAATTCTACTTTTATTTTTTGCACACGCGAAGTTCGTAAACGAAAAGTTTTGGAAATGCAGGTGGCCCATGGTGGTGATTGGTGAATTACGGAAAAGGGTTCAGGGTTGCAATATTTCAGTCTTACCACCACCATAGCCAAAGTCTGGTTCTGACTTGTCTAGCGCCTGGATCTCCATTTTTCTCAGCAGCTTCGTTGTTGAGGTGGTAGTGGTTGTGGGCGTTCCTGCACAACAAACACCACATACGGTATAAAAAAAAATAAAAAATAAAAACTTCGACTCATCGAAATTAATAATAATAAAAAAAAAAGAAAAAATTATTTATTTATTTATTGTTAATAAACCAATTCTTGGGTCTTTATTTATTCAGTATTTGCAAAAATTCGTATCTATCTCGTCGCGTATAAAAAAAATTGACTATTTAATTTCAAAAATTGTCAATGAAAATGTAAATATTATAAAACAAGTTCATTGAATGTTTGTAGAATGTATAATTGTATTAAGTTTTTTTTTGATAATTACAAATCCGTATGTGGGGCTGCAGGTCTTGAAAATAAATTTCATATAATAAAAAAAAAGTGATTCAGTATTAATTAAAATCTGGCATTAAACAACAGTATAGTGCCGACCTGTTTTGCATGAGAAATAAGTTTGAACCAGTTTTGAAAACCCAAATCACGTGCTCCAAAATGGCCCACCCTTCACCGGAATTATTAATACAGTTCCCAATAGTATAAGCATACCAAAACTCTTACATCATAGTGAATCAATTTTAATAAAAATTTCTATTTTTTAATAAAAAAAAAAAATTAAATATCTTTTATAATTCAGAACTATATAATAAATTTTCTATCTCAAAGAACTTTTTTTTTTTTGTATATTTTTTTCCGAAGTGATAATAATTTATCTTAACGAGACATGATAAAAGTTTCTTTTGATATTTTTCCCCATTGTAGAAATTGTATATCTATAATGGAAAATAACATGTTACAATTCCAAAAGGTAATATGATTTTCAAGTACTAATGCGTATTCAGAAGAAAAAAAAAATTGTCGCATAATGGAATGAAAAGGATTTATATTACGTGACTTCAAAGACCTTAGAGTGAAAATATATTTTACATTCTTCAATTGGCAGTATGCGAAAAGCTTGGAGCTTTCCATTCAGACCGGATATATATTTTTCACTCTTCAATAATAATGGGAAAACTTTTTTACATAATCTTTACATTTGCATGATAATGTGTTACAAAAAAAAAAAAAAAAAAAAAAAAAAATCTTATCGTTATATTACGATAAATATAATTTTAAAAAAATATATATTTATTTATATTTATCTATTTTTCTATTTTTCCATTTTAAATTTTTATATAATTTTTAAATAGCTATATTTTTCCCCCTATGTTAAGAAAAAGCTAAATATAAATTTTCCAGCTGATTTCATTTCAGTGTCGAATTTTAAATAGAACACACACTGATGTCATGAGAGAGGAGAGTATAACCACATAGTTCGATTTTGCTATAAACATAAACGCCTCTTATGTAAATTTATTCCATGAAATGCCAAATAGAACAAAATTTAATTGCCGTAAATATTCAGGATCAGTAAAATTGGGAAACTGAAAATCCTTTCTAATCTTGAAAATTTAGCAGACCAGGAATTTCGACCCCGTTGTTCTAAATTTATTTCGCAAAATGGCGTTGAGCCAGGAGCACTTTGAATTTACGTTATACTGAACTCAAATGAAATTTTGTTTCATTTAATAGATCGCTTTTATGATAAAATTTATCATTATATATATATAGAAATAAATTTTCAATATGATTTTCTTGGGGAAAAAAAAAATTAAAAAAATAACGATATAAAATAAAATAATTTAAAGTCCATTTAGAAAAATATTAAATTTTAAGTAGATGAAATTTGATTTTAATTTGAAAGCTATATCATAAATATTAAAAATAATAAAGTAGATAATTATTCTTTTAAAGGCGAATTTAATTGGAATTATTAATTTTTAAAATCTGTCAATTAAATTTCTATAGATTTTAAAATATTTAATTTTTCACTTCGTTTTCTTTCATTGTGAATAATTAAATGATAAAAATTCATTAATTTGTAAATATATTGAAAGCAATTAAATAGTGGTTAGAAATTAATTTACAATTTTCAGAGATACTGACCAGGTTGGTAGATTAATTCACGGGAGACGTTATAATTAGCCATTGGTATGCTGAGGGTGCACTTTAGAATTGCTAACTCGGGCAAATCTTCATCCTGCAAGTCGACTCTTGTCAAAATATCGTAATACTGCGATCCTGGCGCCATTGTAACTATAGGTTTCGCTGAATATTTTGTCTCAACTCCTCTGTAAAGAACAAAGTTTTGTAATTACTTTCTTAATAAAACTCCAGAGTCTTCTTTAGCAAAAAAAAAAAAAAAAAACTGTTTAGATTAATTTTGTTCAAAAAATCGTATTTAAAGAAAATTTTGTAATTATAATTTTTATTTTTTACATTGTTTAATTTTGAAAATGTAAAAAAAAAATGCAATTTTCTAGTTTCACATTGAGAAGAAAAGTTGTAAATGGCAATGTCATCGCAGATACATACTCAACGGAAATGTCGAGAGAAGGTTGAGGATACAGCCCTTCGGCGAGACACGTCACTTCCAAACCCTCTTTTTCTCTCACGACAGCTCTTCTCGTGATCAATTTAAATTTTTTTTCCGTTGCTGAAACAAAAGATCGTACCATTATTTGTTAACTAACTCTTGACTTGTCTAAACTCTGAAATTCACTAGACAAATTTTTTACCTTGACAATATTTATTTTCACCCCCCTCCCCCACCCCCTAACCTCTGCATCTTTTTTTTTTTCCTCTAACGCGAATGAATGTACCACCATTTATAAACTTTTAGCAGGTACTGTCCAGAAAATGAATTCGTTTATTTCATGAAATTTTTCTCTTGGATATTGTGAATTTTTCATATTTTTTTTCGAGTTTATTTTCACGTCTTTTTTTTACATCCCCCCCACCCCTTCTCTCGAATGTGAAAACTATTACGAGCAGGTTTTTTTTTTTCGTTCGTTTTGCTGACCCATTTGATGTGATAACAGCTTGCGTGATGAAATGAAAGCTTCACGAGTCTATTTTCTATGTTGTTGACTGCACTCTCTGTGATATGATCATGCTTTAATATTGTGAATCAAGAAATTGTCTTTATTGAAATTAAAAATTAAATATAATTATTAATTTTTTTTTTTTTTACTAATTTTTGATTGAAAAAATTATTTAATTTTGTCAGGATTCGAACGCTTGACGCGTTTTGTATTTTTAGGTGCCTTAACGATTGCGACCAATTCTCATCTGTGATGATAATAATTATACCCTTTTATTTGTAAATTAATAAAATTTTAATAATTAAATAATTTTAAATTGTCTTCTTGAGAAATTTTCTCTATATTCTTGGAATTGAAAAAGAAAATTAATTATAATTAATTTATTTTTACCAAATATAATTTTTGGTTGAAAAAATTATTCATTTCTGAGGGGATTCGAACGATCAATGTGTTTTGTATTTCTTCGCGCCTTAACAACTGCGACCAACGCGAATTCTCACTTGGAAAATTATTGCCATACCCTTTTTTTTTGTTATTTCTACATAAAATTACAATAATTAAATAATTTAAACACAATGATATAAAAAAAAAAAATTTTGCATGTAGTTAATATTCATCGAATAGTATTTTGAAATGAAACTTCATTCTAGTGAATTTTAAACATATATATATATATATATATATATATATATATATATATATTTACAGTCAAATAGATAGTTAATTTAACAGAAATTAATTTCAATTCAATGATACAAACGCAATATGAATATAATATGCTCGATAGCATGCTCTAAATTTGAATTAGTTGAAATTTTAATTAACTTGATTACATTTCGGTAATACGAAATTATTTAAAAATGACAAATAAATAAAAAAAAAATTCCCATTTTATTAGCGAGAAATTAATCATCATTTTGAGTTGAAAAAAAAAATATAATAATTTATAGCAATTTTTTTTTTCTACGTGATTTTTTGAAAAGTTCCTTTCAGTTCACTTCTCACATATTTATATAACAAACGATATGTGTATGTGTTTTTAAATATGTATCATATGATTCGTGAAATCTTAAAAAATTCTCCCTTTAAATTTGTGAATCTTATCACGCTCTCTCGTTGGTCGATTGCAGACTTTTCTCTCGATACAAAAGCCGGAAGTTACACTTCCGAAACACCCAATGTCGATGGTAGGTGCAGTGGGTGGCTATATGGGCGAACCGCACACGTAACGTTGAAAATAAAAATGTAATAATAATGGATCCGCGTCGCATAGAATGCGCTGCTGCATTACCGCGACAATGCGGAACTTCTTTCCACACAGCTTCTTTTTTTTTCTTCTTCTTCTTCTTCTTTTTTTTTTGCTTTTCTTTTTATATTACAGGCTAGAGACTTTTATTTCGAAAACGAATGCGACTCAAGTGAAAAAAGAATAAATAAAAATAGGAAAAATAAAAAGTAATAACTTGCGGGGTTAAAATCCTCTATATAGTCTTTAGTCACGCAAACATTTTGTTTTATCAAAAAATATCTTCTTATTTCAATTTAAATCAAATGAAATATAAAATTGACGCAAATTTTTGTATATTAATAAAAATTTTTTAATATTTAAAAATTTTTTTAAAATTATTTTGTGCTTTTATATTATTTGAATTGAAACTAGAGAATATTAATTGTCGCCTCAATTTCTTGACTATTGTGAAATTTTCCATTATGAGGATATCGAATTTGATTAACATTAGTCAATTTCGGTTTACTAAAGGCTTAAGTTGGAAGCGCACGCGTGCTACAACATTATACTGATTACTAAATCAATTGTTCAAGCTCAAGGTATTCCATGCCTGAATTTCAGTCAGAAGCTTGTTACACTAATCTACCTCTTAAGTTAACTACTGAAATGGATTAATAATCTTCGAACCAAACCATACGGTAATAATCGACAATAATTACTATTTATTCCCTTATATATAGAACGTGATTACAATGAGAGAAAAATGAGGTGGTTAATTTTTTAGCAAAAATATTTTATTTCATTTTTAATATCATTAGTAGAATAAACAAGTAATTATAATTAGTAATTTATGAATTAATTTTTAATTCATAAATTAATTTATTAATAAATTATTAATAAATTATTAATGTAATTGAAAATTCGTAAAAATAGTTTGTTTTTTTTTTGGTAAACTTACAGAAAACTACCATGGATCCCTTTGCTTCTATTTCATCGGCAACAGTCGAAATATCACATTTATATGTACCAGTAAGATCAACACTGGGATTAATCAATTTCATTGCTCGATACATTGTATAGGGATCTTCACTTGCTTTATATTGAACGTCAATGTATTTCTGAAAACTAGGTTCAGCAGTTGGTTGTCTCCCATAAATCCACTGATATGCAACATAACCGTCGTCTGGCGATGATTTATCGTCCTTAAAGTACCACCATTTCACAACTAAAAGTGTACTAGAAGTTCCTTCCAGATCATAATCACAATCTAAAATTACAAAATCCTTTTTCCCCTCTCTCACTGTATCTGGAATTGTCACCTGTTTGATTTTCAGCTGCAGTGATTCTGAAAAATAAAACAATTTTTCATTAAAAATTATTTTTATATTTATAAAATAAAAATTCATTTTGCAAATTCTATATTGAATTTTTTTTATCAAAGTTCTTATATTCAATTCATTGGAAGAATGAAAACAATTGCACAAGAATTATAAGGATAGGAATTTTTTTCTCTCTCAGTGATATATATATATATATACAACAATAGTTCATCAGAGGAATTGTTGAGAACTAGATTTTGATATTTTGACATAAAAGAACTCGAAACATAGTTTCTATATCGCGTATTTTCAAACTGACGAGTATATGTATATATTGGAAGTGCATATGTGGATCAATAGAGCGTGCACATATAGAGCCATAACGCATGGTGACAAACTGCATAAGGTTATGCAAGCATGACATCAAAATATTACCCGCACCCGCTAAAATTTCGGGTCGACGATTCGCGGATTAATTCAAGCGAATGGTCAAGCCGCTCAAGTGTGAAATCAGTGTCAAAAAGCAAAATGAGCAAGCGACAAAACTATGACAGATGAGATGCGAGATCTGTACGTTTAACGCAGCATTGCGATTTATTTTAAATATTGCTTTTATAATAGCCATATGTTTTTATTTTTTATTTTCTTCTAAATTTTTTTTTTTTCAATCAATCATTTATCATAAATCTCTTAAAATATTCCAATAAAATCGCATTTTTCTATTTTCTACATTTAAGAAAAAATTTTATTTCAAATAATTTGTAACTTAACTATTTTTTTTATATATTTATGAAATTAAATTTGAAAAAATTAGTATTAAAAATTTAATTATATTTAACGTACTAAATTTTTTTTTAATAATTTATATCCACCCAGGTGGAAAAATTACCGGTAGTAACTACCGGTAATTTTTCCAGTACTACCGGTAGTCACTACCGGTAATTTTTTCGTTACCACCGGTAGTCATTACCGGTAATTTTTCCGGGAGTTACAATCAAAATTTGTTATTTGGTATTAAATTTTGATTGTAATTCCCAAAAAAATTACCGGTAATTACTACAGGTAATGACTACCGGTAATTACTACCGGTAGTGACTACCGATAGTCCCGGAAAAATTACCGATAGTGACTACCGGTTGTAACGAAAAAATTACCGGTAGTGACTACCGGTAGTACCGGAAGAATTACCGGTAGTGACTACCGGTAGTCTCGGAAAAATTGCCGATAGTGGCTACCGGTAATCTAGGAAAAATTACCGGTCGTGACTACAGGTAGTGAATATTCCGGTAGCGGGAGCGGTAATGGCTACCGGTAGTGACTATCGGCAATTTTTCCGGGACTACCGGTAGGCACTACCGGTAATTTTTTCTAGACTATCAGTAGGCACTACCGGTAATTTTTCCGGGACTACCGGTAATTTTTCCAGTACTACCGGTAGTCACTACCGGTAATTTTTTCGTTAATACCGGTAGTCACTATCTGTAATTTTTCCGGGAGTTACAATCAAAATTTGTTATTTGGTATTAAATTTTGATTGTAATTCCCGAAAAAATTACCGGTAATTACTACCGGTAGTCCCGGAAAAATTACCGATAGTGACTACCGGTAGTAACGAAAAAATTACCGGTAGTAGTCACTACTGGTAGTACCGGAAAAATTACCGGTAGTGCCGGAAGAATTGCCGGTAGTGACTACCGGTAGTCCAGGAAAAATTACCGGTAGTGGCTGCCGGTAGTAACGAAAAAATTACCGGTAGTAGTCACTACCGGTAGTACCGGAAAAATTACCGGTAGTACTGGAAGAATTACCGGTAGTGAATACCGGTAGTCCAGGAAAAATTACTGGTAGTGGCTGCCGGTAGTAACGAAAAAATTACCGGTAGTAGTCACTACCGGTAGTACCGGAAAAATTACCGGTAGTACCGGAAGAATTACCGGTAGTACCGGAAGAATTACCGGTAAGTGACTACCGGTAGTCCAGGAAAAATTACTGGTAGTGGCTGCCGGTAGTAACGAAAAAATTACCGGTAGTAGACACTACCGGTAGTACCGGAAGAATTACCGGTAGTGACTACCGGTAGTCCCGGAAAAATTATCGGTAGTGACTACCGGTAGTCCCGGAAAAATTACCGGTAGTGGCTGCCGGTAATCTAGGAAAAATTACCGGTAGTCACTACCGGGAACTTTTCCACCTGGGCAGGGTGAGTTTTATGTTCCGGATCGACTAAACAGAAAATTTAGGAAACCCCTTAAAAATTATTGTCAAGGGAAAATTTTTTTCAAAACATAAAAATCACCCTATATATAAATGAAATAATATTTAAAATAAATTAAAATTTCGTTCTACTATTATTTGAAACGGAATTTTATTAACCCAAATATACCTGCTCATAATCCCAAGCTGTAAATGTTTACATTGACGCATACAATGGGTACAATATATAAATCGAAGGTCATTATAAACAATGTGGTTGTGAGAAATCTCGCAAAAATAATTCAATCAGTTAAAATTCGTGTCTTGACCTGTTTAGAAGTGGTCAACGTGAGTGTAAATTTTTCTAATTTATTAATTATTTTTTCTTTTTCTTTTCAGATTAATAAATTCAGTAGTGCTCGAATCTTTTAAATCGCGAACGAAAAAAAAATTCTTACAGTGTGTTTAGCCTTTTTATTTTTAAAAATTTTTAGTTAATTTTTTTTTTGTTTTGTTTCGGGAGTGTTCGAAAAATTCTTAAAACCGCGATCGCTAATTTTTCATAAAAGTATTTTAGTATTTTTAATTGTCCTTTCGGGAGTGTTCGTAATTACTTTAAACCGCGTGTGTTAACAACAAATAATCACCTCATCCAAAATGATACATCAGTTGAAAATAAAGGTTAGAGATACATTTTCTTCGATAAATAATTATAATATAAATAATAATTTTTTGTCAGACATAATTGACATTTTTCCACCCCCCCCCCCAAAAAAAAATTATTAGTAGAAATAATTTACAATTTTAAAATTTGTAATTACAATAAGATAATAAATAATAAAATGAGAATTATTTTCCTCAAATAAAGAAAAACATAAATTAGAAAAACGAGAGAGAGAGAAAAAAAAATAGTTTCTCATTTATCACTCGCGCGCTAAAAGAGCCACGGTAAATTAATCACGTTAAACGAATACAATTTAGCGAAGATTGAACGAAACCATAAGAAATAGTAATTGCATAGAAAATTTTCAAGAGTCACAGTGAGTCATCAGTCTTGCACTGGTTTATCAAAAAAGAAAAAAAAAAAAAAAAAAAAAAAAACCTTATAATACTACGGACATTTGTCATTCATTAAAGGAGCAATTAAATTTAATCTGATCTTTCTCTCTCTCTCTCTCACTGCAAGAGGCAGAAGTGTGTTTTCGTATCGTATAAAATCGACGGCTTTTGTATGCCAAGTTTGTAAGGTGTTGGCACTGATTAAGTTGGTCGCATGCAAATCGTTTGGTGTACCCCTCCCCCCTTACCCCCCCCCCTCCTACCGTATGACCCTTTATCATCGAGATAAACTCTATGCTCCCCTAAGCGTGTGCTCCACCTTGCGTAATTATATGTAATTTATCATAATTGAGAATGGTATCGAGATCGCCATCTAACAGGAACACAATTAGGATAGAGAGAGGGAGAGAGAGAAGGAAAATGGAGGTCAGTTTTGCAAATGGTATAATATGACCAAATAGCGAGACATACACAATAGAATATAACATTTTGTATTATTCTTTTTTTTTTTAAATGTTACAATTTTTTTAACAGGTTTGTTTCACACGTAATTATATGTAAAAAAAATGTCTGTATGTGTGTGTGTGCTTTTTAAAAAGAAGAGTCCTCGGGAGTTGAGGAAGAATGAACTTTGAAACACGTGAAGTAAACTTTATGAGAATCGTTTCCGTCACCAGGGGAAATAACTGCAATTTATTTCATTTCCACTTTAAAAAAGTACTGCAAGAAAAACGTCCAGTCCCCCTACTGTTACTTTTCCGTAATTTAATTAATTAAAAATCTTTGTGTCACACAGAGACAGAAAGGAATTTATGTAAAAAAACATTTTTATATCGTACTTTTTTTTTATGTTTCTTTTTTTTAGCTCATATAAAATTATTTCAATTTAAAATTTATTATTTAAATAAAAATTACTTTTTTTTTTTATTTTATTATTATATTTTATTGTTTCACTATTTTATTTTTTGAAAAGTTAAAGAAAAAATTTGCTTTCTTGGAAAAAGTGTAGAAAAAATAATTTAAAAATTGGAATTTCAAAAGCGTATATAAGAGCCGCTGCATATCATCTATATGTCGTAAGTCAGCAAAATTTTAAAATTTCTTTGCGCAAAAAGACTATATGTGGGAATGTATCTTCGATCATTCTACATCCGTCGTGACAGGTACATTCACATTTGATATTCGAGACGCGAAAAGTCAATGCAATTTTCTGCAACATCAGAGAACGCGGTAGCATATATATATATATATATATATATATATATATATATATATATATATATATATATATATATATATATATATATATATAGAATATAGTATGGCTTGCTTACACTCTACAAGAATTTATAAACGCATTTGCATACACAATTTTCACGCTTAACCTCGTGGAAACGGGATTGAATTTAAGATAATACGAGGTCGAATATGCATAGATTTTTTGCCCGCTCTATAATAAATTGGTGGAGATGTTCATCCTGTATTTTTATCCATTTCCTTTTTTTTTATTTTTTAGTTTTTAATTTCTCTGCACTTTTGTTCACCCCTATCATCCCCTGCGTTCATTTACGACTTTTTTTTCTACTATTTTTTAAAATTTATTATTTCTCAATAGATGAATCAAACCATTTGAAAATAAATTGCAGTTATTTTTTTTTTAAATTATGTAAAATTTTTTTGAATTTTGAATTTTAACTCAAAATTTAAATGAAAAAAAATTTTTTACCACTAATTTTGAAATTAAAAATAAAAAAAAATCGAAAAATTTTGTCTT